TTTGAGACTAATTAGAGAGATTGAGAAGTATTTTTGAAGTATACTTAATTCAAGATATAAGGATTTTATAAGAGGTGAGCACCGGGGGAGAAATCCGCGGTGTCGGTTTTCCACATCCGGATAAATGTGGAGGGTGATTAGGGCTGCTACTACTAAGAAGTACAATTTGAGTTTTAAGTGACATTTGGATCTATGATCCCTTTTAAGAAGAAGTTATAGTAGTAGTAGTCCCTAATCATTCAAGAATTTTAAAGGTGGGATAGTTGGTAGACTGAGTCCCGATTACTCGTGACGACTTAGTACTCGGAGGGCTTGGAATCCCTTTTTGGGGGTGTGCACACTTAAGGTAGTTGTTTCGTTTCCGCAAGAGCAGTTGTGGTACCGGCACTTGTTCGGGGTGGCCGTCCGTAACCACGGTCCACCGGGCTCAGTCGAAAGGTTGAGCACCGCCCTTCTAAATTACTAGGAAATTAGAGAATAAGTGATTTTTGAGATAATCAAAGAAGAAGAGAATTTTTATGGAGTGTGTTATTTTTATATAGTATTATATAAAAATCTATTTTTGCCAAACCTGATTATTTTACGAGGTTGGGTAGTACTTACTTAGCTCTAAAGCTAATTTTTGTTTTCTTTCTTTGTTTTGTTTCTGCACGATATTTGTGCAGGTGATGATGGTTATGTTGACTGCTGAATGCATGAGCCTGAGAGCGGTTTAGAGATGCCTTAGACAAACTTAGTCAAGAATAAACATTTTAATTTACTTATGTTTTGAACACTAGTTTTAGTTTGTTTTGTCTTGTCTGGTATTAGCCTGTGCATTCGGTTAAGAGATGACCGGATGTGGCGGTAACACCCATTTCCCAATTAATATTATTTCCGCTGCAAAACTTTTTATCTGTTTTGAAAGAATAAATCAAGTTTATTATCAATAAATCTATTATTTCAAGTACTATTTTGGGAGGGAAAATGGGGGTGTTACAATTATAAGATCAAAGAATTTATGATTTATTGTATACACACATATGTATGTTGAAGTATATTTGTAGTATAATTTAAGAAAAAGTATGTATACTTATATATTGAGCGGGTCGGGTCAGGGCGGGTCGGGGCGGCACGAGTCAATTCTAATACCCGGACCCGCCCCATTTTATTGGCGGGGCGGGGCGGACCCGCCCCATCTGCAAGGCGGGGCGGGGCGGACCCGCCCCAAATGGCTCGGGCCAGGGCGGGTCATTGCGGGTCGGTTTTTTTGACATCCCTAAGAGAAATCCTACCAACAGCCAGAACACATACGGCTCCTCACCCTTGGCGGCACCATCAAGGACAGGACTAGGCCCGCTGGGACGCTCGTCCCCAAAGATTGGGCGGGAAATCAAGATTCTGGCGGGAAACACATTTAATGCTGGAGATTTGGTGACTGAGACTTCAGCCACCCACAGCTCTCCACGTCAGCATATCGAAGTGCTTCTTAGTAGTATAAATAGTACTATTTATTTCATTGTAAAGGGTTGACAACTTACCCGCCTTATCCTACTAGCATTCTGATAGCTCTTAACATTGTTCGCAACTCTTCTACTTGAGTGTGAGACGAACGGCCGCTGGCCAATAGCATAGTGCAGTGTAACGAGGCTTTATACCACTTAATAATACTCGGGCCCACTATCACATACATCTCAAGTCCATCTTATTTGCTACTATCTCATATTCACATACTTCTCATCCTCTTGAAGCTCATAGGTTACGTGTTGAGCCTACCGCCTACCACCTACGGGTTGAAGGAATAAACTTCAACACTATTTATTTATTTATTTACTTACTTCTCTATTTTATTTATTTATTTATTTATTTATTTATTTATTTATTTATTTATTTATGTATTTATTTTTATTTATTTATTTTCCACCGTGATTTAGTAATCATCTTTTAAATGATATAGATATAACTATAATCGGAGTAATAAATTATTTGAAAGGAAAAACAATGGAGGACAGTTGGACAAAAGAAAAAAAAAAGAAAAAACCAAATGTTAGCCACGTACGTAACTTCATATTGTTTTTGCTTATTAACAAGAAGAAACTCACTTGTCATTATGCAATAAAGACAACATAATTCTTCGATGGTATTGATTATTGAAAAACGACAACATATTTAACCGTTGTTATTTTTTATACATTATTGTAATATTATTAGATACTCAGTAAAGAACACACTTTAATAATAATAACCACTACCTGCATGAAATACCTCTTTATTTAGGAATTGATATTTTGGTTTGAAAATCATACCATGTACGATGGTATATTACTATTAGAATGCTTTGTTACTGATTAGAACTACATGAAATAAATTAAAGTACTTGAACTATACATTGAACAACCATATATACATCAAATTTCTAATCTTCCTATAAATTTAACAATAAGATATTTTCTAAATATAACAACTATTCTAATGAAGTCGATACACTATAATAATCATCCACATAATTAAAATAAAATCTCAATATGTATCAATAATTATATGAAGAAGTGAGTACTAAATCAAAGTTAAGCAGTAGCTCGATGGCATTGATGTGGGGTGAAAAACTGCAAACTTCAATTGTCATCTTTATAACCTACAAAAAAAGAGCATAGAATTCAGATTTTCAAACAAAATGACATAAATACTTGTAAGAGAAATAATTCATATGCTTCTTAAATAAATCACACATTTTGTTCTCCACTTTTACTTCATTTACTACCGTGTTTAGTCATACATACCTTGTGATCCAATCCACGGAGGAATAGAAACATTAAGTTGTTTCACCAACATCTCTTGGAAGATTCGCATTTGAGACTCCACAAAACCTACACGATCCTTAATTTGGTATTTTCACCCTGAATTGTTGTCTCCACACGATCCTTAAGTGCGGTATTTTCATTATGAATTGTTTTCATTATCTTGGCTTGAACTTCTTCGTTAGACTTGTACTTAAAAACCTTTTGTGCTACCTAAGAAAGATCATTTTCTATTATCTCGTGAATTTCTTCTTGCAAAATAGAGATCATAAACAAGACCTACAAGCTGCCTGCAACAATTCTAGTTTTCATGGACTTCATTTCATTCAACATAGAACATATGCTACCTCACATTTTTCAGCAACAACACTGTAACTCCCACCATTTTAATGCATGTTAAAAACTGACTTTAATGGAAGCAACAACACCAAAACCTCACATTTCATTCAAGAAGAATTCTTGATGTACACGTTTTTATACCCATCAGTACACGCATGTGTCTGTGAGAGTTATTTTTTGTCTGTGAAGCGCAGTCCACAGACAAAAGCTGACTTGTTTTGTCTGTGGACTGTGGAAAATTTCACAGACAAAACAAGCCAACTTATGTCTGTGGACTGCGCTTCACAGACAACAAAATACTCTCACAGACACAAGCATGTACTGATGGGTATAAAAACGTGTACAAAAGGAAATTTTTTTCATTCAATACTTGTTTTCATAGACTCCATCCAAAAACTATGTTATTAATTAGTCTTTCAACGTAAACAATAAAACCCTCTTTAAAAATCAGGGATTTTTTAAATGAAAGCAAAGCAGAAGTTGAAAAAAGATTAAACTACTCCCTCCGTCCCTGAATGTTGTTCCAATTGCGGATTACGAAGGTTGACCGACGATAAAGTTAAATGATCCCTGTGAAAACTCGGATTATTTTTAGTAAATAAAATTTACATATTCAGAAACTACATTAAACCCGCTACAAAGCCTGCAAAAAAAATCAATTTTCATAAAGTTTTGATACAAAAAGTAAGAGTTTAAGAGTGATTTAAGTTGACTCTCGAAAGACGAAATGGAAGTAAATTTAGGGACAGAGGGAGTAGTATTGTTTGAAAATAAAAGAAAATGATATGTGGAAATAATGAGACTTAAAATAGTTAATTAAATGGAAAATGACTAGTTAAATTTAAATATTTTCAACAAGGATAAAAACAAAAATAGTTAGCACTTAGCATTGAAAAATAAAACATAGATAGACACAATTTACATATAACTACAAATGAATTATTTATATGAAATAATACTTTGTAAACAATCACCTCACTAGACTGCCTTTACATATAGATTATTTGTGCTGTTTGAGTTGAACGAAAATCTAATTGGTTGAAACTAAGTGTCATTTTAATTCTCTATTTGCATTGATTCTATGTTCAAACCCATCAACTTACAAATTTATTTATAAAGAAAAAATGTAGCTCCGATCCACATATTAGGCGTGCAAAATTTAACTTGGTAACGGCCTGGCATACAGTACTACCACTGTATTTATATGAAATACTCCCGTGCAAAATACTCCCTCCGTAATACTTTGTAAACAATCACCTCACATACTTTGTAAACAATCACCTCGTGCAAAATACTCCCTCCGTAACTTTGAAATCTTCCCATTTCAAAAGTAGGTAGATTAAGAATAGTGAAAGATGATATGAATTATTGAGGGTATGATGGGAAAATTGTGGAATAATGTGGTGGAATGTAGCATAAATCCAAAAAAAAAGTAGTTGTAATAGTGTATTATTTTAGAAATTATTGAGGGTATGATGAGAAGATTTAGAAATGAGAAGATTTTTTTGTTACGGACGAAAAAGGAAAGTGGGAAGATTTAGAAATGAGGGTAATACTTTGCCAGAAAAAAGAGACAGTAAGAAAAGAAGAACACATACAAGTTACTCAGGGCATGAAACGGAAGTAAATGCCAAATCCTTCAAAGTTTCATATCAGCAAGATCAATCGGTCCAAATCTTTGAAAAAAATCACTCATGGCTTTCCCTTCTCTTCAATTGAGGCTGAATGCCAGACTTCCTACTTCTAACCCACAATTATTTCGTCCACCCAACTCATCCCAATCGCCTGTCTCCAAATTCATCTGTACTAATTCAGCTAAGAGACCAACTGACCCACATTCAAGGAGCATCTTTCTGAAGCCTTGCAATAACACAACCTTCTCTAGAGGAGTCCCCTGCTCCTCCGACCGAAAGTCAAACCTCGAGGTGAATGCCCCAGAGAATTACTGAGTTCTTTTCTCTTCTAATGGCGAAAAACTGATTCTTTTCACTGAAAAAATGACACTTTACTAGATTCTAGCCGGAGGAGAAGGGACGGAGCCTTTGGATTCTGATTCGGTGTATCAAGAGGAATTCAGCTGGTCCTCTGTTCTTCTTCCGTGAGTGCATTAATTTTCATCTTTATCCAAACCTTATTTGTTCCCTGCTAACTGCTAATATGTGAATATAGGACTGCTTAGTTATTTTGACATTCTTGATTTTGCTCCCATTTCTGTATTGGTAGGACTGTAGGAGCATCCCTATAAAAATGATGAGACAAATCAAAATCTTGTAGAATTTAGATATAATATACTGAATATATACCTCAGATGATAATAACAACAACAACAATAATAATAATACTAATAATAATAATAATAATAGTGGGATGTATCTTGTTATTACAGTTTAACAAGATAAAAAATTTGATATGAGCAGCATGTATCATGTTCTTGAGGATGCAGAACTGTTTATAATCTGTCATTTAGGATAATCTCAATATCAGATCACTTATGATTCAATGATGTGATTTACTAAATAATGAAATTTGAGCTGGTTGAGTTTCACTAAAGATGTAAACAATGTAATTAAAAGTACCAGCTATTAATTAGGTACTGTTGAGGTTAATTACAACACGAGATTTATTGTATAAATCTATGTAATCATAGCTCAAGAACAATAATAGTAGTAACACTCGATCTTTATGTGGAAACCCAAAATGGTGAAAACCACATGACTTTTCAGGCTAAATCCAAGCCTACTCTCTTTTTATTAATATTCCTCCCCATATTTACATGGTACAAGAAGCTCCCATTAATGGAGTCTTAGAACTATTCTAGGGGTGTAGGTATAGTGGAGAAGAAGAAGCTAGAGGAGGGAGAGAGAAAAGAATCATTAGCATGGAGGGGAATCCTCCTATTTATAGGAAAAGGGGGAGGGTACAATTATACCCTAACGGGCCGAGAGGGCCTCACAAGTGGGCTACTATATTGGGCTTTGGGAATAGTAATAGGCCGGGGTCCAATATCCAAACATGTACAATAATAATGTTACTCCCAAGTCCCAATAATTATGTCCAATAGAAGTTTACTTTAGTACATCACCCGAAACAGTTAATTGAAAGTTTATCAAGTATGCTAACACAACCTCAAAGTGCTCTCGTGAAGTGAGGATGTTTCAATGCTGCACTTATTATGAGTTATATACTTATATAGTTATATTCATTCATATTGTGCTGATGTAGAACACTTTTCAACCCACCAAAATTTGATCGAAAAATAGTCATCTATGATTGTTGCTCCTCACTCATGTACTTGGGTTTATAATAAAATAGGGTTTTTATAATATTATTAAAATATGATTGCGTGGTCATTACAAAAATACCAACTTGGTTTATGCAATGCAAAACTTCATCATGGTCACTATAATCACTGGGATAATACCAATATGCTCACTGCATATTAAAACTCTATTTTGTCTACTATTTTATTTCAGTCATGTATTTGCACTTATTTCTTTTCATAGTAAATACACTTGAACTTGAAGTGACCAATATCAATCCTATGACTAATTATTGGTAAATAGTGGCAAGGTCTGAGATATGTTCTTGAATATCAGATTTCTATTTCCAGCTTTGGGTGGTTTATTGTTTGGCTATGATATCGGTGCAACTTCTGGTGCTACTATCTCCCTGCAGGTAATGCTTGTGTTTATTAAATTTTAATCTCTAAATTTACTATTTTTATATTTGAAATAATAACTTGAGATTTCTTCTTTTTTGCATGTATATTTTCAGTCAGCGGAGCTTAGTGGAACTACATGGTTCAATTTTTCTTCTGTTCAGCTCGGTCTTGTGGTATGCACTCATTCATATTGCTCGTCTTCAAATAGGCATTCCATACTTCTACCATAAATTGGAGTCTAAATATATGTTTTTTTTATTTGGAAAAGTTGTTGTTACCCCTTTAGGTATGGTCATGATCAGTAGTCCAACATTATGTTTTAAAAATTCAATTAGTTAACCCTTGAGATTTGATTATTCTCGCAACTCCCTCTTTTGTACGTAGTATATATTTATTGCATTTGACTCCATTCAACTGTTGAATGACAGTTTTCTAGCACATCAACTTATAGAAAGTTAGAATACTTGTTTTTCATCATTACAAGTTATGATTGTGGCACATTATTTCTTCATCTATGTTTGTTCGCTAGAGAAGTGTAATTGGGAGTGGCAGTGGGTCAGGAAATACAAACATTTATCCCATATAATAATAACAGAGAAGTGTTTTGGATTCTAAGAGATTATTTGATAATGGGGTAAATATTGACAATCAATCATCATTTACCCCAGTGCCGCAAAGGCTCCCACCTACAATGGGGTAAATATTGACGAAAGAGGAATTTGTGATAATTTAAATTCAAGGGGTAATTGATTGACTTTTAAAAATATAAAGTCGGACTATTACTTATGACCTAACCCTTGGAGGCAACAATAATTTTCCCTTTTTATTTTTACTTCACTCTTGATTTAGGTAAGTGGGTCCCTTTACGGAGCATTGCTTGGCTCCATCATTGTTTACCCACTATCGGATTTCCTTGGTATGTACAATTCTATGTCTGATTGGGCAATCATGTTTTTCCATGTTTACTTTGGAACTCCTTCCTAATAAGTTTTTCCTTCTTTTCATGATCCATTATATGTGTAGGCAGGAGAAGGGAACTTATAATAGCAGCCGTTCTATATGCACTTGGTGGTTCATTAACTTCATACGCTTCAGGCCTAACTGTTTTATTAGTAGGGAGGCTTATTTATGGGCTTGGTATTGGTTTGGTAAACTTTCCCTATGATCCTTGTTCGCTACACCCCACATGTATGGCTCGTTTGGTACAAAAGAAATTTCCACATTTATATTCATACATTGTGCATCAAGAAAAAACACCGGGCAACCTTTTTTCTGCTTTACTGTTAATGGATCATTTGAAAGGTGGACATAATAACCCCCCCCCCCCTGCAGTATATGTGTGAAGGACATTTTTGCATGTCTTATGTTTACTCAATACTTCGTTGAATATGCCAATAGCAATCAACCAAACTACGAATTTTGAATCTTTATTTATGTTCAATATATTCTCACCCTACTGAAGGGGACCCTTGGTGCACCGGTTCAGGTGTTGTGTGACCAAAAGGTTACGGGTTCAAATCTTGGGAGCGGTCTCTTGTAAAAAAATTGACAAGGGAAGGCTTGCCCCTTATGCACCCTTGTGGTGAGATCCTTCCCCGGACCGTCGCCTTGTGGGGATGCCTTTGTGCACTGGGCTGCGCTTTATATTTTCCCCGGACTCCATTCTTCCATTATTCCTTCACTGTTAGCCTACTTTTCTATGTTAATTTTTCCTTTATTTCTGTTAGCTGCTAATCAATTTCATGATCTCTTTTGGCAGGCTATGCATGGTGCACCTCTATATATTGCAGAAACATGTCCCACTCAAATTCGGGGAACCCTGATTTCTTTAAAGGAGCTAGCTATAGTTTTTGGCATTTTGGTAAATATAACATTATATATAGTAGCTCCATGTTTGGCATACATAAATAAGACCTTCTAGGTTTTTTACAATAAAAAAGATGTCTTCAAATGCCCCTAGTCATGCGTTTGGCAAGAGAATATATTCAAGAGGCTTGAAGCTTTTCTCAGACGTTACATGGGGTAGAATCTCGCCAAAAACTGTTTTACTCTTCCCAAAATATATTTTTTCTTATATGTACTATATCTATAGTACATATAAGAAAAAATATATTGTGGAATAATTGTGGAAAAGCCCCTAGTTGTTTGTTTGACATGCCATCTTTTATCAAAGAACTACAATCTGTTTAATCTACAAACTTTCACCTACTAAAGGCTAAAAGCTACCAAAAGTTTCAAGAAGTAGCTTTTCAGCTAGTCATGAAATACATGCACTAAAAAGATTGCTGTCGTTCTGTGTTTTATTTGATCAAATAATTTTTTCCTGTAGCTGGGTTATTTTGTGGGTAGCTATGAAATTAATGCCATTGGAGGGTGGCGTGTCATGTTTGGGTTTAGTGCACCAATTGCTTTGCTCATGGGGTTAGGGATGTTGAGTTTACCGCCTTCTCCAAGATGGTTACTTCTGAGGGCGATTCAAGGAAAAGGACGTCTAGAAGAATACAAAGAAAAGGCTATGAAGGCTTTGAGCAAGCTTAGAGGCCGACCTGCTGGAGATAAGGTGTCTGAGAAACAAATAGAAGATACTCTAGTCTCATTGAAAGCTGCTTATAATAATGAGGAGGAAACCAGTGGGAGTTTCTTAGAATTATTTCAAGGTCCAAGCTTGAAAGCATTTATAATTGGGGGTGGATTAGTCTTCTTTCAGCAGGTATGATTCCGAATAAATATAAAAGTACAATTCCACATATGAAAAACTTGAATTGTTCTTCTGATTGTATTGACCTTTAAGAATGAATGAAGTTGTATATAACGTTACGTGGTGTGTTTTGTAGATAACTGGGCAGCCAAGTGTTTTATACTATGCTGGTCCCATTCTTCAGGTACATTCAAGACAGATAATTTGAAAATAGTCTTTGATTAACATTATTGTCATATTGTTTCCCAATGTTTACCTTATTTTTCTAGACTGCTGGGTTTTCTGCTGCTTCTGATGCCACACGGGTGTCAGTGATCATCGGCATTTTCAAGGTACATCTAGTGTCTCATTTATTGTCCTAATGTATACCCTTAACATTTCATTCAAGCTACACTTATGCTGCTGCAGGCAATAATGACGGGGATAGCTGTCCTAAAGGTAGATGATCTTGGGAGAAGACCTCTCCTAATCGGTGGAGTCAGTGGCATTGTACGTCTCTTTCAGCAATATTTATAATTATCTAATTTCAATCTTGTCCGCAGATTGTGTTAAAGTCCCCGTAAAAATTGATTAATAAGTCATTGAGTTAATAGGCTAATGAATTCAATTTTTGTGTGTGTTTTTGTACAAATGTTTATGGTCCAATTGAGTTACTCAGTTACCCCAATTCAATCCTGAATTCTCTCATTATACCAGAGCTAACCTTTGTTTGTCCCGTTGTTTGTCTGGAAGTTTGTCCCGGGGGTCTATGAGTCTTTAGCCCAATTCTCCGTCTGGAAGTCCAGCCCTCAGTGAGTCATTGACCCAAACTCATGCTAGTCTGGATTCTGGAAGTCCATTTGTAGCTGCTTATGGTCATCTCGAAATTGAGTCTCAAGGGGAGAGGGTGTTCAATTTGCAACTGACAAACCAGTTAGATACAAAATGGCCTGGTTGTCCACTTGAGGGAAGTGTTAAGAGTCCGACATCGTAAAGTTACAGAGAAGAGTTTGTAGAGAAACCATGAGTTGAATTAGTTATTAATATATAAGATTCAATCTTTTATGTGGTTTGGCTCAAATGTTTATGGCCTATTTGAAAGACCCTAACCTAATCTCTTGTTTATTTATTTATGAGCAGGCCCTATCACTTTTTCTTCTTTCGGCTTATTACAAGTTTCTTGGCGGGTTTCCTTTAGTTGCGGTGGCTGCTTTGCTTCTGTATGTGGGATGCTATCAGATATCATTTGGACCTATCAGTTGGCTAATGGTGTCAGAAATATTCCCACTGCGCACAAGAGGAAAGGGAATCAGTCTTGCAGTCCTTACTAACTTTGCGTCTAATGCTTTAGTCACGTTCGCTTTCTCACCTTTAACGGTACTACTAATTACACGTGTATTCATTAGGCTATGAAAGAAACTGCACCTTCTTTGCGGTTTTCCATTTCTTCAATCTGAGCGACGTAGTTAAATTCTTCAGGAACTATTGGGTGCGGATAACCTGTTCCTTTTGTTTGGATTGGTTGCCCTGCTGTCTCTGGTGTTTGTGGTTACCTCTGTCCCGGAGACCAAAGGCTTGAGCTTGGAAGAAATTGAATCAAGGATCTTGAAGTGACTGTGTTTTGTGTACAAATTCCACTGGTTTAATCTATACCACACTTGATATATTGTACAATACAATGTATATAACTTTAAAATGAGTGTTTTTGGTGTCCCGTTCAATGCATTTGTTTATGTGTCCGTGCGACTAATGGTGCGATGATATCCGAAAAAAGTTTTCTTCCTCGATCCCAAAAATCTCATTCCCAATTTGTTTGACACTTGCTTTCGATGTAAATATTAGTAATATGTGATATTTTTCTTTACTAATTGAGCCTGCCATGCTTCACTTTCAAATTGGCCTTGAAGTCTAAAACCATAGCCAATACCTAGCAATAAGGTTTGCGGAAAAGATAGTTAGATAGGCTTGTTTATTCTGTATTGTTGTTACTTGTTAGTTGTTACCATGTTAATTTATATTCCGAGACTAGGAGTTTAGGGACAAAAATACTTGACATCAATATTTCATTTAGTACATATTTTAAATATTATTAACTTTGACAAGTGGGTTCTAAATTTTGATGGAATCAAACGTTTGAAACGCCAGAAAAAGAAATAATTGACAAGAATAATTCCAACTATTAGTGATTTGCTTGAAATAATCCAAAGTATCAATTATTTCAAAATAATCTCAATTATTGAAAAATCTTCTCAAAATACCCACTTAGATTATATCAAGTCACCAAAGTATTTTGAGAAGATTTTTCAATAGTTGGGATTATTTAGAGATAATTGATACTTTGGATTATATCAAGCAGATCAGTAATAGTTAGGATTATTCTTGTCCATTTTTCCCCAAAAAAATTACATAAGAATGTGATCAAGAACATAAAAAATGAGCACAAGAATATCAACCTTACTTGCACTTATATGCTCTAAAGGAGTTTAAGAATAAAATTTGCAAAGATAGAATAATGTAAGGAATGGAAAAACTAGTAAGAAGATGAAAGTAAGAACTGTTCTTAAAGAACATGTATCTATAAATAAATTATTTCGTTTGACACTATGTTTCATACTAGGAGATACAAAAATTGTATGCCGAAGTGGTTTTGGAAAATATATACTTATCTTCCTCCATTCTCAAAATAACTTCTCACTTTCTTTATTTGAGTGTTCCAATATAAACACTTCATCTCTATAAAGTGGGGAACAATTAGAAATTCAAAAATAAACATTGTCTTTGATAAGTGTATTTGTTTCATGAATGGAAGAAATATTCCCAATTTGTTGATTTATTTGGGGGTTTGCCAAAAAAGTTACTAAAAGAAAACTCCAGGACAAAAAAATGAGTCTTTTAAAAGTGACTACTCCAGTGACATGTTGTCCAAGTGATCGGCCGCCGCCAGGGACTTGCTGCCACCACTACTAGTGACTCGATCGCCACCTGTGATCACATTGCTCCGGAGTCCTAGTTTGTATGGTGATCCACGCATTTTTGAGTGACCACTGTCTTTTTAGTTTCAACTTAATCTCTTTTTTCCCTGATTGAAATCTAATCTTATAAGTCGAAGGGTAATACTTCTGATTTATTTTCACATAATTGAATTGTTGAAATACGTTGATAAGAGAAACCAGTACAAACTGATATATTTGTGAAGTACTCTGTACTCTTTAGTCTTTAGTTGCTACTCCCCGGGTAATTAGAAATCACAACTTTCTGTATTTTTATTAGGGTAAAACAGGATTGGACCCGGTTCGGGCCACCCGGCCCGGTACTGTGCGGGCCCGGCCCGGGAACCGGGTACCGGTTCCGGGTCTAGGCCCGGTTTAGGGGGGTAACCGGGGCGGGTACGGGTCTCAGATATATGGAACCGGCCCGGTTAGGGATTTATTTTTTAAAATTTTTTTTTTTAAACTTTCCGGGTTGGGCTGAGTATTTTGGGTCATTTGGGCTGGTTTGGGGGGGTGGGGGGGGGGTTAATTTGAAAAAGCAAAATAAAAAAATATATAAAGAGGCCCGAGGCCCGGCCCGACCCAGACCCGCTGGCAACCCGGGCCGGTCCCGGGCCTTCCACCAACCACTAAAGGCCCGACCGCGGGCCTAGGCCCGACCAGGCTCTAACCGGCCCAGCTCCATGCCTGGGGTAAAATAGTAGGGGTTAAATAGTAGTTCAACCCCTACTAACCAGACCCCTATTATTTTGAACCCCTATTATTTAACCCCTACTATTTTGAATCACTACTAACTTAACCCCTACTAGCTTACCCCTATCATTTAACCCCTACCCCTACTAGCTTTTCCCCTACTTTTTAACCCTACTATTTTGAAGCCCTATTTTGAATACATTTCTTCAAGCCATCAATGTTGAAATCCTTCAACATGCTCAGAAATGGGAGCACGAGAATGAATAACAGCTTCATGGATTTCATTTAACGTTAAAGACAAACCAGCATAAACTTCATGAATTTCAATTGAACACCAAGGTTTAATTGAAACCAAACAAGGTTTTGATTAATAATTTTGTAGGGTTTCTAGTAAAAGAAACCCTTCCAAAAATTCTCTAAGGCTTAGGGCAAACCTAAGCCAAAGAGGGGGTTTGGAAATAGTTTTCAACCAGCAATAGACGCGCCTCGGTTATTACCTCACTAGCTGCGTCATTGCCCCAAGCGCAAAGATGCTTTTGTCCTTTGGCTGCCTTCTCTTTTTATTTTGCGTGGTTCCCCTCCCAACTATCTAAGCATCCGGTGTGGGACGGCACTATTTCTCATAACTCATACGAAGTAAGTCATAACTTCGGGAACCAAAATTCAGATTCCAACGTTATCGCTACAAAACAACTTCTTCCACATATTCTTAACGATCTACAGCCGTGTATATATGCATGGGTTATGTTTTCATTACGCATTTAATTCACTGAATTTCCACCAAACTGATCTTTATTACTACGGTATTATTATATATTATCACATACTAAAATGGCTCTCCGGAATGTTTAAAATAGACTACCTGTTCTTAATAATCCATTTAAAATTATTATCCCATTTAATATATATTGGGCAATATAATGCAATACAAATATACAATGCATAAACTAAAAAATTCTGTTCTTTTATTTCACAAATAATAAAATGAGAAACACATAGCATGGTAAGATGTTACCCAAAGATTTGTGAATATTGAGGCCTTTCTTGCTTGGCCTTCCTAATTGCTACAATTAATTACTTTGAAGTTTAGCAAATCATACTTTATGTACTACGAGTATTAAATTTTACAAAAAACAAGTTAATAGTTCTTCAACCGCAATGAATAAAATAAAATTGCTTTAAAATTTATATCAGAAATGTTGGTATCTTTTGTGTGCACGTGCTAAAGATACCAAACGTAGGTTACAAACTTAAAATGTAACAAATTTAAACAATAATAAATGAAAATAAAATGATATTTCCAGTGGGGATCGAATTTGTAAGCGGAGGTAGAAGATATAAGAATCAACTTTGATCTCTAGACCAGGGAGAGCTCTCAACTTTGGCAAAGTAAAAACAATTGTTTTATTTTTATTCTTGTAATCACCACCAAACACCATTCTAAGGGACTAGGGGTCTAGGATACTAAATGGATGTCTTTGAGGCATTACTTTTTTGAAACATGTGATACTAATAGATCACATATTTCAATTCAAACCCATGATGATGCCATCCCTATAACTTCAATCCGATTCATTTTAGCAATTTATTAGGGCCTGGCTCCCTACTATTTTTTAATTGATGTAGATTGAATTTAATTTTATTCTTTTTGACCAGAATTTAATTTTATTCTGAACTATGAATTGTTTATTCTAGGTTAAATTTCAACATATAAATGAAAGGAAACCCAAGATAGCTAATACCAGGATACCACTAACGATATCTAGAGAGAAGACAGATCTATTAAGTAAGAGAGAGAGAATCATATTAAATGAACAATGGTATGTTTCAAGTGCCCAAGGAGCTGCTATTTATACTAGTAAAAAATGGTAGGTGCATTAAATGCGCATTCACGTGTAAGCTGATCTATGACGGAGAGACCCCCCTATGATGCGGATGTTGGGATGCTAGCACGTGACGCAGCATTAAATGCGACAGTTGGACATTGGGGAACGTTGGGCAGAATTAATGTTCGTCTGTGCATGCCGAGGTCGATGGCTTCGGCTTCAGTGCCGAAGACTTTTAACCGAGGGCTCGCTTGAAGAATCAAATGTCCCAGTTCTCTTGTTGGGGCGAGTCGGACCATAGCCTAGAGTTTGAGGCCCTCAGGCTTGGGCCCGAGGGGTGTTCCTTGCCATGTTTGGGCTGTTTGTACTTGAGATGTTGTATCTGAGCTGCCGAAAATAGGTCATATACTCCATCATCCAAAAATAAGCTTTTAAGTTAAAATCTGTTTTTTAATCATATCGCAACATTTTTAGACTGATAGTCTATTAGTCTATTAAAATCTGTTTATATTTTAAAACGTGCTTTTTAATTCTGTTAGAATAATAGAGTAGTGTATGTACTAAATCAATATACAATAAAAAAAAATACAGAAATTGCCCTAAATAGGAGTAAAAACGTTTTGAAATTCCAAAATAGGAGCAACATGTTTTTTATTCCCTGAATAAGAGTAATCTGCCAAGTTTGGGAAAAAATGTCATGTTTAAAAGCCTTGTATTGCCAAACTTGGCAGAAATTTACTCCTATTTAGGGAATAAAAAACATGATACTCCTATTTTGGAATTTCAAAACGTTTTTACTCCTATTTAGGGAATTCTCTCTAAAAAATATTAAACATATATGACATTCTAAAAGAAAAAATATTTCAGATTAAAATAAATAATATATTACGTGGTATAAAATAAAATATTAAATCACAATGAATTGAATAACACAAATAGATCGTTTCACGAATGACAGTGGGCTTATGTTTTCAAGATATTTATATAAAAAATCTATGAAGTATGTAAACTTCTAGTGGTTTACGTTTCCGAAATTCGAAATGTCTAAACTTCTGAGTGAACTTTTATGTGATTTTTTCCTATCAACATTGTGATATTTTAATTTATAACACAATGCATTGCTAGAATTATATTGCAT